GGCAAAATGCCTGTCAACTAACCCAATATGCAATACTTCAAAGGAAAGCATCTTGTGATTAATCAGCTTATAGAAAATTTAAATAGCTATTTAAACTTTGTTTTTAACCTATGAACAATCATTGTATGGCAAGCTGCTTGAAGGAGTGCTGTATTCAATGTGATCAGTAATTGTTAGCAGTTTTTTTTGTTGTTGTTATGCAGGCCTTCAGGACTCTGGGGCTGCCTATCCAGCTCCTTCCTGTAAGCCTCCTCACTTGCTCCTATTTTGACCTTAAGTTGCCTCTCCTCAGTGATTCCCTGTTCCCTTCCTGAAGGCTCTTTTTCTTGTTTAGCAGTTTTCAGATCACTGGTGATCCAGGGTTTATTAAACACACTGTAATTGTGTGTCAGCCTCTGGAGTTATCCCCATGTGGCTATAGCCTTAAAGCAACCTTGCAGGGCTTCTTCAGCATCTTGTGACCATCTTTTTACAGTCACTTTTAATGCAGGTTGCCTCTTATAAAGAGGTTTATTGTCTGAGCAAAGAAAAAGGAGAAAGATGAGGTCTTATTTAATAGAAATGTGTGTTTTGTTGTTCTTGTACAGAAGCAGATAAACTGTTAAAACGTTGAAAGTGTAGTGGAAAGTGAGGCGAATTTAAAATTACCAGTCATTGCCACAAATGCATTTGACTGTTGTGTCTGCAGATTACAAATAATGGCACTCATGCCATTACACACACTTTTGGAAGGTGGAATATAAATAGTTGTCAAAACAACAGCGGTAAACTCTCTTGGTTAAATAGAATAGACAAAATCTTCCTGCCAGCAGCTAACATTCTTGGCCGTAAAGATTCAAATTTTCAGTAACAATTCATGGACAGATCCATCTGTTGTTCACAAACACTCCCAACATACCTCCCTTGAATTTTCCAGCCTTTTTTTAGATCTCTGTTTGTTTGTATGGTCAAAAAGCCTGGTGTAGAGATACTGGAGTCCAGGATATAATCTTGCAGCCATGTTTTAGTAAAACACATAATATTGCATTCTAAATATGGATGGTCTCTTGCTAGGGCTTGGAGTTTTCTTACTATATCCCTGTGAAATCCTACATTGCCCGTTACGATTGATGGAATAAATTGCTTTTATTTTCTCCTCCTCTCTCTTCTCCTTTAACCTGCTATGCATCCTGTGGAAGTAGTTGAAGTACTATTCCAGCTTTGAGGATGTTGCTGATCTACTTGCAATGGTTGTTATGGTAACATATTATAATTTTTGGTCCAAAAATGAAGAGAGTTTGGCATAAATCATTTTAGCTGTATAGCATCTAACACCAGGGGGAAAAATCCTTACGAAAAGAAACTTTGGGGAATTGGAGTTCTTTAAAAAAATTATACCAAAAATAAAGCTAGCAGAGTTACTGCATTTGCAGATACTGTGAGCAGAGCAGTGCAAAAAAAAAAAAAAAGAAGCTTGTAAAACTGCTGGCTGGAGCAGAGACATCATCCATAGTCAAACCAGTTTTGTCTGTACCTACTGTGCATAGGCTGAAATGCAATTCAGCTAGGAATAAGCCTTCACTCCAAAAGTAACCCAAAAGCATAACTATACTTTCCATATTAAGTCAAATGTGAGAGACAAATGTGTCCAATGGTCTGCTAGTACAAAAAAGGGTTTATAATTTGAAGAAAAATAGCTGAGTTAAATTCAAGAATGTGTATGTGGGAGTTTCGTTGCAGGAGTTACTGCTGTACCTTAAAAACAAATGGTGTTAAGTGAATATAACTTCATATGGATATTTTTAGGTAACACCTCATCATTGAAACATCTACAACGAAGTTAAAATGTACAAATGGACCCCCATTATGATGGCAATTTTTTTTATAGTAGTTAAGAGCAACAAGTTCAAGAAACCTGAATGAGATGCTTAATTTGTCAGAAGTAATTGACCACTATTCTTTCAAACTATTCTTGTGAATCTTGTGCAATTAAAAAAACAACAAAATTTAAATGCGTTATCAACTTAAAACAGGTAGAATTTAGAAAATGTTTATCAAACAGGAAACAATGTTTGATATAACTGTTTGCAAACATCTGATTTATGAATAAATAGATGTCCAGATTTTGTGGTTTAGATCTAACATGATCTAAAACTAGTTGACTGGATTTTAAATATTCCTCAAAGGTGTGACAGAGAAAGATATAGAAAAGGCATGAATAAATGTGTTAAAACCAGTTTTGGGATAGTGAAATGACCTCAGACCTGAACCGGGCATCAGACAGAGTCCGCTGGCACATAGAGCAGCTGTCATTGTTCATCTGGGGTGCGAGTATCTGCCAGAATCTGTCAGACGTTGGCTGTAAGACTGAGGAGCCACACTGCTTTCTTTTCATCCCCAAACATCCCTTGTGGCACAGTAAAAAGCCCTCTTCATGAGAGCTTTGGAACATAGAAAAGCAGAGCGTGAGTAACACAGTTACCTACCTCTGGACTTGGCTTGTCTTCCAGGATTTTAGTTTTAAGTTGGGCTGGTCCAGATTGGTCTTTAGAGGTTATTTATCTCTGTCTGTGTTGCTTCAGACAGGTGTCCTTTTTTTCTTGCGCTAATTGAAGCCCAGATGCTTATTATAATGCAAAGCCTTTAAAGTGACCTTTCCAAGATAAAATAGACAGCGAGCCAACAGATCTTTTTTAAATGGAGGTTAATGTCAAATATTTTATATACGTTCTCTTTTTTCATTTTGTTGTGTTTCCCAGAAAAATTATTTTTCCACCAAATGTTTGGAATTTAATCTCTGTACAAATTTTAAAACATACCATGTAAATGCCTTCCTTTAAAGAAAGTGAAAATCTATTTTCAAGTTCAACTGCAAAAACAAGATTGGCTTGTTTGACTTTTCTATATAGAGACTCACTCTGTTAAGAAAGAAAGAGAAGAATTTCTAATCCTGTGGGAGGAAAAAAGTTAATTTAGTTTTTTGCAGTAATGACTCAGAGGTATTAAATGTGAGGAATTCAATCCTAGAGAAAGAATAACACTAACAGACATGGTCTGTTATCCCAGTCAATAGCCACCTCTTCAAACCCCCCAGCGAGAGAGAAATATGTTCCAAGACTTAGAAGAAAAGGCTCTGAATGATTTGCGAGTTTTACGGATGAAGTCACCAGTCGCATGATGCAGTAAGCAGTTATGTTGTGTGGAATTAGACACGGAATTAATGTTTTCTTCCAATGTCAGACATTAAACCTGCAGAATACCGCCTGCATGGTGCTGCCTTTCATAACTGCATTTTTAGCAGTCTTATAGTAAACCTTAATGTGTATTAAAAATAACAACTTTAATTTGTTATTTTGCTTTTTGTTATAATTCTTAGCAGCCCAATGCTGCCAAGGTGATTTAAGATGTATGTTTCAAAAACGATCAGAGCCTTTGCTATGAATGTATAAACACTGACCCCTGCTGGTCATATTGCAAACATAACATATTTATGGTCTAATCTGATAAGGACATCATTTTGGAAAATGTAAGCATTAAAACAAGTGGTTTGTAAGGAAACTAAACCTTATTACTCTGAACTGAAACCTATAACTGTAAAGGCATATGCAAAATATTTAGATCATTTATACTTAATTATTAAGATTTGATTATTGAATTAAATTTAAAATCTAGGGTATGCATTTCTTTTCAGTTGACTCTGCATAGAACCATATTGTCCTACAACTAAACATGTTTTGGGGTTTGTCTCCAACACATTTTCACATGTAAGAAATCATTGCATTACTATTTGCAATGGAGAGGCATTACCATTACTCATCATAATATATAAATATGCTTTAGTGTAGCTCAAACTGTACATTTATGGTAGCTGTTTTGCCTGAGGGGCAGCCCCCACCCCGATCTTATACTTATCACGCGCTCTAACAGGTTTCCTTTCAGGATTGATCTGTATTTAGCTCCCTTCATTCTACTGTCTCACTATCCCTGCTGAATGAAAGCACACCGCATAATAGTTTAGCCTCCATGTATCACATTGTAGATGATAGGTTGGAGGTGATGTGCAGTGTGAAAGCAAAAAAAAAAAACAGATGACAGAACATCATCTTTGTGGCATTTACTCTTACCTCCAGAGGTTTTTATAAAATTTCAAACAGGACTTCTTGAAACTTAATTTCAACAATTCCTTTCATATTTCAACTTTTTCACAAAGGCCAGATTTGTAAATCACACCACCAGCTGCTTGATGTAACTTCCCCAGAACTACAGTGCGCTTCTTGGATGCTTCTCTCATCAATGCCTAACTAGCCCAGTCTGGTCAGGTGAGGCGGACAGCCATGTTTTGGCACTGTAGGATTGTGGTTCGACTCTTATCTTCCATTTTCAGATGACGGACTCAGCAGTGCTTTATGGTATTGCTTTATAACCCAACCATGGCTTAAACTTCTCCATGATGTTATCCTTTATCTACCTGCTACATTCCTTTGATTCATAGTTTATTAAAGTTCTCTAAACAACCTCCTAGGTCTTCACAGAACAATGATGCATGTAATTATTTACTTATTTTAAGCAATTATAAACAAGGGGATGCTATTTAAGAACTGTTTTTCTGAAAATTTATCGAAAGGCTCTCTTTTTTACGTATGTGTCAGATTAAAAGGGGGGAATTAATTTGATTTGTACTTGTAAAGAAATGATAAAACCTACACTTCTCAGTTCAGGACTGTATATTATGATCTATCAGCAGACTAACTCTGACAAAAGAGTATCAAACTTTATCATTCTAATTTTACTTGATTTATTTAAAGGTGGTTGGGTGTCCAATATTTGTTTCAAGGCAGTTTAAAAACATTTTGGTTCTGTTTTTTTAAAGATGATTCTCTGACTTTTATGAATTCGGGAATCATGAGAAAATAACACATTTTATTTGATTGTGACTCGCTTCAAACCTTTTCTCGTTTTTAAATCTGCCAACCTATGAGTTGGTCTCAATCTAACCGCACTTTATATTTATCCTGTCACAGTTTGAAGGATGCAACAAGGCTTTCTCTCGGCTTGAAAACCTGAAGATCCACCTGCGCAGCCACACAGGGGAGAAGCCCTATCTGTGTCAGCACCCAGGTTGCCACAAAGCTTTCAGCAACTCAAGTGACAGAGCTAAACACCAGCGAACACACCTGGACACAGTGAGTGGTAGCTCATAACAATCAAACTGTATAATTAGAGATGTTATTTCAATTCTTTGGATCAGTATGTGCTCACCTACGAGGTTTATATGTCCGTGGTTGTGCAGAAGCCATATGGCTGCCAGGTTCCTGGGTGTGCAAAACGTTACACTGACCCCAGTTCTTTGAGGAAACATATGAAGTCCCATTCTACCAAAGAGCAGCAGTTAAGAAAGAAGGTGAGTTTACTAACTTTATTTCAGTGTCACATGCTAGATCACTGTATATATTGCATTTTCTTCATGTGTCATATATATATACATATATATATATATATAAAGCATAATGGGAGATTCATAATGTGTGATGTGTTTGTAGAAGAGCTCAGGCATTTGTCTTTAGAGGCTTATGATGAAAAATTAACTTCACTTTCTCAACATGACAGCTGTGCACATGAAATAAGCCTCTCTAACATACAGTATGTGACATATTTCATTTCATTGTGCTTTCCTTCATCCTAATTAGCTCTGTGACAGGCTTTCCATCCCACTCACTTAGCTGTGGAACTTAACTGTACACAGAAGATCATTATCTTTAATTAAAGGTGTGCATGCGGTTAGAAATGACTAGCAGTAGGGTTTGTCAATTTATGCACACTTAGGTTAACAGAGGCAGAAAAGGGTCTCACAAAATGACTCAGTCATGTTTGTCTTCCTTGTGTTTTCCCACTGAGACGCACTCCATTAAAAGTTGCACTTTACAGTAGTGCAATTTTGCTATTAGGATTTTTGCATCTGAGTAAAAAAAGGTTTTACATTTTCAAGCGTGTGTCATCTTAGATTCTAACAAGATAATTGGGAATTTGCAAAGATATGTTTGGTTTTATTGTCATTGTCATCAAAAGTCAAAAAGCCTTTATTGTACAAAGATAGTTTCTTGTCATATTTGGGTGTCAAATGCAGTAATGTGAAGCTATTAGACGAAGAGGTAGACAGAATGGTTTTGCGCAGGGCAAGCAGGATATGAAGCAGAGGGGGGGAAACAAAGAATCAGATGTGAGAAAGGCTCTTTACATAAAAATAAAAGAATTTAACTATGAACAAAAAACCACTGAGTTAATATACTCAGCACAACAAATGAACCAAAGTGGTAATCAAAGGAAACCAGGTGCAGCAAGGGAAGGATAAAGAAATGCACATTAAGATAAGGAGATTAATCGAAAGCTCAGTTGATACTAAAAGAAACTAAAAACCACAGAATAAAAGATAGAGATTCAAGAGAAATATATTTTAACTGCACCAAAAAGGAAAGAACAAATTTAACAAATGAAGAAAAGTAAGAACAAATGCATTGACATATATGACAAGACTGTGTGTATACTTTTAAGGGTCACCTAAGCAAGTCATTGTGACTTACCTACAGACTTGTTTTTAAACCGGATCCAATTCTTGATGTATCCAATGTATCTGTATATTGAAAGTGTTTACCCACTTTATTATGGGGACAAAAGTTTCACAACATAAACATATAAAAAAAAAACAAGATAATGCTGAAAACAAATTAAAAAAAAAAACATTTAGAGTTCTAATTTGTAAGACTTTTTTTTTTTTTTTTTAGAAAGCTGCAATATGACACCTTTATTGTTTTCTCCTAAAATATTTTTAAAATTCAAAACACACCAGTCTGAAATAGGCATATTTAATTTCCTGCATAAAGATTATTAGAGTGTGGGATAAGCAAAACTTTCTGCATGTCTTTTGCTTGTTTTATCCTTTTTGCCACATTGTTAAGTTAACTGCCTTTGCTCATATAGTGCAGTTTCAAGTCATGGAACTCCAAAGCGCTTAAGGCTCCATTCAGTCATTCATCCATTCATGCACTGATGGTAGCAAGCTACACCAGTGATTCTTAACAGAGGTTTTCGTACCCCTAGCTGTCGCTGCAAGGGGTACATTAAAATGTTTTATTTCTCCGATAATTATATAGGGCTGGGATCTTTTCTACTTTATGAGGAGCCAACTAAAAAATAAAACAAGCATTTTTAAACCAAGAAGTATGTTTTTCTCTCAGTTCATCTCTAACTTTGACACACATCAAAACCAAGCAGAGGAACAGACTGGTTGTAGAGAACAGCCTGGTATCAGCTGCTTCTCCACTCCTAATCAAAGCAAGCTCAGGTGTCATCAATGATGAAAAGAAAGTAAGACAAATGAAGTCAGTCTTATTATAATTATTGTTCAGTATTTTGTTCTCATTTCATCAAGTTTAAATGTGATTTTATGGGAGTAACTCAGAGAAGCTCCAGTTTTATGAAAGCAGATTAATAGTAGGATTTTATTCTGTATATAATTTGATTCTGCACTAGGTTCCGGGCAACATATTTATGTTGTTTTTTTGTATTTGACTTGGGAAAAATAACCTGCCAATTAATGAAATGCTAAAGTTAAAAAGATTAAATAAAATACTTTTTATTGTATAATCCACTTTTTAATCAATACCTTTGACTGAGAGGGTGCTCATGGTAGGACAAATTGCGCAAAGGGGTACACAAGTCAAAAAAGGTTAGGAAACATTGAACTACACTGTAGAACAGAAGCTGCGAATATCCCACGATATTCTTCATTATTTATTTGATTGCATTGATTGAGTACTGCAGACAAACACTTGCCAGAGTTCAGGTCAGAAGTTAAGATTTAACAAAAAGATATAAACTTAACAAAATCATTTTGATGGCAAAGTTTAAAATGCTAACAAATTTCCCAAAATACATGATCCCCAAAACCTTTGAGAAAATTTTCTGTGGACTGCAGAGGCAAAAGTGAAAATTTTTGGAAGGTGATCATCCTGTTATATCTTCCATACCGTAAATTAATATACTATTTAAGAAAGAAAAAAAAAACATGCTTCTATTAAAACGTGGAAGTGGAACGGTAAGGGAATGCTTTACTTCCTTAGGACCTGAAAACTAGTTGCTATTGTTGGAACCATGAAAACTGTAAGGCCATCTGTTTATGACTTTACCTGCTGTTATATGACTTTAAGGAATGCCTTTTATCCTTAAAACCAGTGTAGCTGAATGAAAACATTTCTGCTTTAAAGAGAGGATCAAAATCCCTCCTCAGTGACTTGATGGAAGTTACTACATAGGTGGCATGAATAGTTATTTTATTTGGGTGAATTTAGATTTTCTAAGGCCTTTTAACTTAAATAATTATTTGTTTAAAAATGCAAATAATTTAAAAACTGTTGTATTCACTTGGATATTCGTTGTTGTTTGCATGTCAGAAGAAGCAAAGTCTGAGAAGTAAACTTTTCCAAATTTACTCTGAAACTTAAAACATCCTGAATTGTATTGCCTATTAAATAAAGCTATCAATAAATATTAGGCATTAACACAAAGTCAAGGCATTTATTAGATAAGCAAAATGATTATCAGCCAAGTTTAGATAATATAAGTTTTTTAATCTTTACCAGTGGTATTCGGATTGTCCTTACATGCCTCTGGATTCATAAAACATCTGATAAACAGATGCTTTATTTGATTTCTGCACATTTTCTAAAATGTTGAAGCTGATGACTCATTAGATGAGGCTTTCACACTTTTTATCAGCAAAAAAATGACTAAAGTAAAAAAATTTCTGTAGCTTTTAATCAATCATGCATGACGGCTTTAAGCCAATTCAAAGTAGCCTTGATTCAGGGTTGTCGGCTGATTTCAAACATTAACTGCATTCTACAGATTAGCTTTGACTTTTATAATGAAAATTCCAGAAAATTATTAATTTGTTATGTTATATGTAAATATGTGCTTTCTACTGGTCACATCTTCTGACAACATCATTGTCTCAATGCTTGGTTTATCGGTTTATTTCTTTATCTATTTGTATTGTAGTAGTAGCAGTGAAAACCACGTATAAGAAAGTTATTTGTCCCATCAGCCATATTTTTTCTAAGTCACCTTTATTTGGTTTTCTTTGTTATATCTGTCATTGTTAACAGCTGAGGGGCAGGAGAAACATTATTTTCTGGGGCACAAGGCCACAGGGAAGGATGTGGTCATCGTGAAAAAAGTCCCTGAGAACAATCTTACAAAAAGTGGTTTGGATCAGTTTCCTTAATTTTATAGCAGTAGAAGTAAATAGTTGCAGACCTGCTCAGTGACTTTAGACGTACACAACACTTATTGCCATTTTGTATACACAGAGTGTATACAAAACGAAAGTTAATTTTGTATAGCTTTCATGACATTTTCTTTTCTTAAAGTGCATCAGTGATCAAATGTTAACAGTACAGGAGAAACAAACATAGTGCAAAAAAAAAGTATTGATACGGAAGTTCAAAGCATTAAGTATATATGGTGCTATTATTTAGAGTTTTGGTTTGATGTTGTCAGTGTGATGCAGAGTCGGTGACATGATTAAGAGTTTTTCCAATAGTTCAGCAATCTGATGGCGGTAGGGAAGAAGCTGTTTTGGAATATGCTGGACCTGCATAAAATGTTGCAAAGCCTCTTCCCAGAGGGCAGCATTGAGAACAGTCCATGTGAGGGTGTGACGGGCTTGTTACGGGCTTGGGACATCCAGCGCTGGGATGAAATGTCTCTTATTGAAGGAAGAGAAGCCCCTATGATCTCTGCTGTCTCACCACTCTTCTCAGCTTCTTCTAGTCTGCTGCACTGCAGCAACTTCACCAACAGTGAGACAGCTGGTCAAAACACTTTCTATAGTTCTTCTGTGGAAGGTCGGGTGGGGTAGATGGGTTCTCCTCATCCTCCGCAGGAAGTACATGTGCTTTTGTGCCCTTTTGACCAATGGAGTGGTTCCGTCGGTAGGTGAACTGGAATGGGTCGAATGTTGGCAGCAGACTGGAGCAATGTGTTCTTTTACCAGCCTTCAAAGGACTTCATCATGATGCGATAGGCCGGGAGTAATTGAATGAGGTGACCTGAGGCTTCTTTGTGACCAGAATGATGGTAGCATCATGCTGACACTATAGATTGTTCCAGCGAGGTGTTAAAGATGTCTGTGAGGACACCAGCAAACTGACTTGCACATTTCTTGTACACCTGCCCTGGTATGTTATCGGGGCCTGGGGCCTTTCGTAGGTTGACTCTTCTTAGAGTTTTCCTCACTTTAGCTACATCCAGGTTGAGTGCCTCCTCTCCTTGATGTGGAACAGCTTTCACTGCTGGAGTGCTGTTTAGTGCGTCTAACCTTTTAAAGAAGTTTTTTAGTTCATTTAGGAAGCATCAGCATCATCCAACGGGAGTGGAGGGTGTGTTGTAGTCTGTGATTGCACATATGCCTTGCCACATCCTCCTGGTGTTGCTGGTTTTATGGAAGAGATCCTGGATCTTCTGGCTTTGATTCTGCTTTGCTGATCTGATGGTACATTTAAAGTTGGCACTGTCCTCAGTGCCCCTCTATTGCAAGCTTTGAAAGCTTAGTTCCATGCTTTTAGCGATTTCCGAAACTCCCCTTTCATCCAGGGTCAATGGTTTGCCGGTGGCTATGTTCTTTGTGATCCATTTGCTCATGTAGGATGACACAGTCATGGCACACTCATCTATATTTATTTTGTTGTCATAGGTTGCTGCAGCTTTGAACATGTTCCACTCAGAGCATTCAAAACAATCCTGGAGTTTCTCCATGGCCCCCTCAGACCACACTCTGACTTCCTCAACTGTTGGTTTCCCCCTGATTAGCTGGGGCCTGTATGCAGGAATTAGCACGACAGAAAGGTGTCTGATGACCTGAGGTGGGGCCGGAGCGGCGCAGAATGCATCTTTGATGTTAGAGAAGGCTAAATCTAAAGTTTTTTGACCCCGAGTTGCAAAGTCCGTATGTTGGTAGAAATGAGGGAACACAGTCTTCAAGTTAGCTTGGGTAAAATCCCAAACAATGATGAAAACGCCCTCTGTGTATGCAGGTTGAAGCTCAGAGATGGCCTGGTATAGAGTCAGTGTTAGCATAAAAATACATTAGGTACCGAAAGAATAAACTTCCTGTCTGACTTTTATGTTCTCGATCTCTGTTTATGTTTACCTTTTTTGTGTTGGTTCTATAGATGAAATCGTCTGCAGATGCAACCCAAGACATGCTGACCGACTGTTTAACTATTCACTCTCTACATTCCAACCTTTCCCCTCTGGCGAGGATAGACAGCTTGAACCCAGCTCTTGGTGCGTCTCATGAGTCATACTTTTGTATATTTATGCTCTAACTGTTTGCATAAATGCATTTAATATTGGAAATAAAGACATCCAAAACAACAACATATGCAATTAAAACCATATAATAGGTTTCTTGATTCGATTCTCAGCCCTGAAGTATCTGTCATTTCTGTTCCAAAGGTGCAACACAAGGACAGGATACTTATAACAGTTCCCAGCTGGCTCAGATGTTCACAGTACAAGATAACTACAGGTAATAAACACCTTTAGATATTTTCATCACCATAATTTATGTTTTTATATGTTTCAAATATTTTTGCATTTCTGGAAGTACTGGTTAGCACGTCAATGAATCCCTACTTCTTTCAGCTGTGCATTCCAATTCTAGTTCTTGCTTTCAAGAAAATGTCAGCATTACTTGAAAAATAACTCGCTCTCTGTTCACCGCAAATTTGAATGCAGGCATATCTTTCAATGATGGTAATAATCAAACATTCGTTGCCATGGATTCAAGGTTCCAAATTTATAATTGTAATAATAGTAATAATTAGGAACAAAAATATTTTCTTAAAAGTTATTAAGTTTTGTTTTTTTATTGTATTTCACATTTATTTATACAACTAAATCTCTATGAGATATGAGATCTCATATTGAAGAGAGTGACTCATTTTAATTAGACTGACAAAATATATTAAAACAGACTGGAGTCAGTATGATTCATACCAGAAAAAAAAGAAAGCAGCAATAAAACATTCAGCCAACCAGTGATTTTTATTATTTGTTGTTTAATGTGGGTTTGTGTAGTGGATGTTACAAAAAAAGGGAGCTTTTCACATGTAATGGCCAGAAACATTATTCACTTGTCAACCTGGGCAAAATGCCTCTTCATCAACTCTTCTTTTCAAAGAAGCTAACAAAGGATTTTTTTGTCCTCATGAGCAGCCAGATGCTTACGGCTCCTCAATGGTTGGGATTGTTCTCAGACCAGCGGTGAGCCAAAGCTTTCACTGCGGGATGTCTGAGCAGACAATCAGCCTGTGAGAGAAGTCCTCGCCTTGACTCATTGGTCTCAACCACTTGCCTCAATGGATGCTATAGCCACCACCAAGAGCTGCTGAGGAATTCAATGACTGAATCATAAAATCCAGAAAATACCATTTATGCTCTAATGAAAGAAGAGAGACAAGGCTGTAGTTAGTTTTTTTTAGTTGCTAAATCAATTGTAAAATCTTCTAAGGATTTTTTTTTGTCTACTAACACACAATTCTCAGTCTAATAGTTCATCTCATTTTCATGTATTCAAACATTTCAAACATGCAGCAGCTACCGAATTATAAAAAAATACAGATCTATCTGTCTTCCTTTTCTCAAAAGGGTATATTATCAAGGTTATTCCTCAATAATAGGGCTTGATGTTATTAAGTTTATTTTATGGATAAACTTACAATGTTCAAGCTGTTAACTGGCCACCACCAAAATCACCAAAAACGATTTTTTTAAATGCCTGAAAAGGCATAAATTAAACTATCTACTATTGTTTATAAATAATAAAATAATTGAACTTTATTGATTTCACATTGTAGAAATTTACCTCTGTATTTAACCCATCCCCTTGGGGAGCAGTGGGCTGCCACCGTTGGGTGCCCAGGGAGCAGTGTGGGGTTAATGGTCTTGCTCAGAGATCCAGAGTGGCAGTCTATGGAGTGGGGATTGAACTCAGAACCTCAGGATTCCAAGCTCTATGCCCTAACCACGAGGCTGCCCCTCCCCTACTAGGCCGCCACTCCCTTTTAACCCTTTGGCGAATCTAGCCTGCCATATAGAGGCACTATACTGGCAGAGAGTAGCCTTATGAGTATTAGTACTTAGTATGAGGCTGCAAATTCGGATTACCAAAACTAACGGGTTTAAGAAAAATATAATTTATTTTTCTTCACCTACTGGACAAACAGGTGCATTTTTTGTGCATTGGCTAGATCCAGTGTGTTTGTTGCACCAATATATGGCAGAAGTAAAGCAGATAGAAAGTCAAAAAGCATAAAAAAAATGCTTTGTTAATTTCCCACAAGGTGTTAAGCACCTTAAAATCAGCCAAACCAAACAATGAAATATCCCAGGTTTTAAGTTTTTGTTTTAATTTATGTGTTTTTCTATTGCCGCTGGCACTCTGTTTCAATAATACTGTTTACTTTACACAGCAGATGATGATTAGCAGATGATGTATATGTAGTTTAAAGTGTTTTTACACAGCAACAGAATTAAATTACTGCAATAAGACAATGCTTTAGAGGAAGTGAGGTAGGGCACTTGTGTAAAAGAAGGGTTTCTTTTCCATCCACACACATATAGAAAATATCGAGACAGAGTGAGAAGGTGATTAGTCAGTGGTTGAGCTGCATTCTAGTTTAACCAATCAGATGTCAGGGTCTGTGTTTTTGAGAGAGCTTGAAATAATTTGTGATTTACCTAAAGCAAATATCTAACAAATTTAATTAGCTACGGTTTCCATCCATAACAATTTTAAATATGAACTCGTGATTTTGATGAGTTGTTATGTATTTCTGTTTAGTTTATTGCAAAATTAGGAAAAAAATACATTTATGTATAATACGTTTCTTTTAATGAAGTTATATATAAAGATTTGCATTAAGTTTTTTTTACTGAAGATTGTAACTTAAATACCATGAAACACTTTGATAATATTTATAAGAGCTGTATTTCTACTTTTTTTTGATTATACAGTTTTACATATATAATAAAACCTTATTCAGTTTCAAATCTCTGTTTATAAAATACATGTTATAATTTTTCATTATGGTATTTAATAGAGTGAACTGGAAGCAGCTGAGGAATATGTTCAGGGTTCTCTTATTTAAAGAATGTATTTTTATTTTCCTCTATGAATAGTACATTTATTCAACCTTGAAATACTTCAGATTTGTTAATCAGCTGATCTCCAGGGACACCTCTGTGCCTTCCTCCTCCACATGCCACCCTCTCCCTACTAGCGGATCAGCGCTGCTGAACAACTGTGATCTGAAGCAACTTGGCCAGCCTCCAGAGGTAGCAGATCAGAGCTCAGGTATTCAAAAGTAGAAACAAAATCTAAACTTATCAAAAGAAAAAGCATTTGCACCCCTTGAAATTTGTCAGATTACAAGAAACTTTAGTCTACAGCATATAGATTTAATCTGATAAAACATGGTTAAAATAACTCAGTTTTAATGGGAAGGAAAATGTGCCATTTGTATATTCGTCTTTACTCTAATTCAGTACAAGCAGGAAAGATTTATTTTATTTTTTGTTGCTTTGCCAAATGTAAATCATTTAAAGAGCTTTGAACACTTGCAAGGCACAGTAGTTTGTCAAAACCATCACCTGTGCTTTGCCGTTTGTCTTTACAATAAACATTAGGAGCAGATGTCGCTTCTGTACAGCAGCAATCAAGTACCTTTCAAATACTTGTCAGCTCAAAAGGAAATAGTTTCCCACCCAGACTTGACAGCTGCAGAGATCTTGACAAGATTCTCTGGTATCAAGTGTTTGATGTGTAAGAGCAGGATAAGTAAGATAAAGTGGCACTTTCTCCTTTACCCTATAGGAAAACTCCTCTAGACCCTGTATTTATGGTAGTGCTTATGGAAACCATCTTTTCTGCAGTAGTCAGTTATCACCATGGCTTGACGTCCTCACAAATAGCCTTTGAAACGCTTTGAGTAGATCATAGAAAGGTGCCAAGGACAAGTACGTTATTGCTGTTTGATTTTCTTCCTCTCCCACTGCAAACGTGTATAAATGTATTTCTGTTTGCAATCTCCTGCAGAATGTGGCGTCCACGTTCGAAATCAAGACGCCTCTGCTTATCAAGAGTTGCATGGCGGGGATTACTTTTGTATGGTGGATCACACTACGAGCAATGTCCCCAGCATTTATACAGAGACATGAAATTACTCTGTTGTCAGTGATATCATGCTGATTTATCACTTTATAGCAAATAAATTGTTTAAATGTACAACTATACTGTGTAATCAATTGTGAAAGTCTCAGGAGGGCTGCTTACAGAAGAACTTCAAGGTTTTCATGTTTTTTACATGGTTTCTGAACGTCTTAGATATAACATATGGCAAGTCTTATGTTTTATCCTTTCAGGTGGCATTTTGCACAATGTCAACACTGCAATCAAAGCAAAGTATGCAAGGGATGATTTATTACAGTTTTTTCTTAGAACCGTGTCTTGGTTTCTATAGTAACAAGGCAGCCTTTATTATCTGACAGCAATGTCATACGTATTACTTGTTGCTTGAATGTAGTAATGTGCAATGAGTGTTCCTGTGCTTAGATAATAAGGCAAATGACTGTTTGTGCTCACACCAGTGGTTTTGAATGTTTTATTACCACAAATTATTTAAACTCGACAAATTGGTAAGCCCTCTATTAAAGCATGAAGTAATGCTTTTGGACTTCCTCGTTTTCATTTGTCCATATGGTAAGAGTTACGCTGTTATACTAACCAGCTGAAATCATAATTAGTTGTTTCTTGTTTGTATTTTTACAGATGATCAAAATGTACATTACTTGTTATGTGATTTTAAACTGAATTTTCTAGTTTTGCATAAGAGAAGCAAACAATTTCTTTTATCTCTTTTATGTGTTTTTTATTATATTATGTATGAATTGTCTAAAGATTTATTTTGTAAAAAACTTTTTTTACAATAAATTCCAAGGTACAATAACTTTTATATTTTAAAATTGAGCCTAAAAGTTAAGATTTTTATCTTTTTATTCAGTAAATGGGACAAAGTCAGGGGAAGTGTCTTAGTGCAGTAGCTTGGAAATTAAACATAGCAGCACCTTACAGATGAATTTTGATACTGCTGTGGAAAGCCCAGTATGGGTGTTATAAACCACAGTAATGAAAGGCAGTTTGTAACATAACCTGCCATTCAAAACACTAGAATTGCATTATTGTATTTTTATTTATTATTTTTTTTTATGTTATGGCTTGTAAATGCTGTCAACGACAATTGTGATCCTTACGGCGAACACTTTGGTCATTAATGCCTCAAAGCATTACATATTTAGAATAGAAGCAAAAATAAATTCCATTATTATCCCACAGTGGCTAAGAAAATTTTTCTAAATTCTAAGGCTAAAGTGTTTTGGTGGATGATCAGAAGTCGTTTCGCCTTTCCCATGTTTATTGCAACTGATTTCACACATATTTCTTGCATAAACAAAAGGCTTTTTTTGTTTTTTTTAGAAGCTGCTTTTGTTTTAAATGTTATTTGTCTTGAAAATTAAAGAAAGTTTTTTTTTTATTAAATTGAATTGATTAGAACTTAATTGAATTGTGACAGTTGTCCAGATGCTGCTACATCATCAATGTAAAGAAGAATCTTTGTGTTTAAGGAGTTAAACATTTAAAGGCTCTAAGGCTTTAAAGGTAAAGGCCAACAGTGTTCTATTTGTTTAGAGTTCCATTATTCCTATGAAATATAAACTCTATATCAATTCGGAAATTTGCATCATCTCAGCCTTTCTTAACATCCAACCGCCTGGGTCCAGTTGGAATCATCTTTCACATCCACTTAGTTAAAGCTAAAAGGACAAACAGTTTTACTCAAATCTTTTACCAAGAGTGTTATGTTTCAGATAGATTTCACTAGTTGCTTAGCAACAACTACGACAGCTTTTCCAAAAAGCATCTGTTTAGTAAAAGCTTATCAAATAAAAAAAAAGTCTTGTGCTGTGGACACAGGTGGTTCGTAAGGCTTTGTAGTTGAAATAAAGCTGCTAAACAATGTGCCTTTGTTTTGTTGCTGCTGTCAGATTTAAGTTTATCATGTATTTTTAGCCCCACTTGTACAATCTGCTCTAAGTTTTTACTTTTAGCTCTAATTTTTTAGTTCTAATTATGTTTGCAAAAAAATAATTAAGGTGAACATATTCTTTGAAGAACAAAATATGCTTGCACAAAGTTAGAATCAAAACCAGCAGTACTAATGAAGAACAAAGTTATTAAACTTCTATATATTTATTATCATTTTACATATTTATAATATGATTAAAAGCTGCACCTTTACAGTGTAGAAATTTCAGAATTTGTTGTTAAAAAACGCAGTAAAGTAAAATAATCTTACAGTGCACAAGAAAACTGTATCATAGAAAAGTATCCAAAATAAAAGCCAAATGGGTAATACTGTAGTGTTGGGACTATTATAATAGATTATATTATACATGGAATTTCAATATAGTGCATATATTGAAAGATGAGCATTTTGGCAGAAATAATGCAAACTTGACTAGACAAAAGGGGAATTGATGGAGTTATTTTAAGTTATTAAGCATTACAATTACAACATTACCTGTGTAACTCTGGTCACATGCTTATCTGTATTATACTGGATGACAGGGAGCTATTCACTTATATTCCAAGTAGAAGTCCTCCATCTTCCATCCACCCTCCCTTGGTATTAGACTCTAACTTAAGATGGAAAATAAAAGACATAATTAATGATTTAATAAAACAAACAACAAATGCTGGATATAGATCAAAGGAAGTGGAAAAGGTGGGTATGTTTGAGGTCCTGAAAGATAGATGATTTATGATATGAGATTTATGATTTTGATGATAGATTTATATTTGCACAAAGTACTTTTACAGGACAAACCATGAATATATTTGTGAGATCGAATGTAATTACCAAAAAAAGTGCAAAAAGAATTGCTTTTTCCTTCTCGAAGCAGATGTTATAAAAAGGTTCACTGTCACTGAGTTAAAAGAAAAATGATTAGGATTAACACCATATGAAATCAAGAGCTGCAACTAGATTCTTTTAGTTCCAGATGTTGAGAATGCAATAAAAAGAATTGCACCTTTAAGAGATATGATATCAAAAACAAGAGAAAAAAATGAATATTCATTAAAGTGAGTAACTATTGTGCTTCCCAAGGAAAAGGGTGATCAGGATATCTAAGTCTGAGTGGCTTCTGATAGGAAAGTATATTAAAAAAAAAATCTTAGATATATTTCACATAAAGAACTAATCAGTCAACAGAAACTGTAAGAACAAAACAGTTTTTGGGAAAACTGAAAAATCACAATTTGTGTGAAACTTGGTCAGTCATTCATCCCAATAAAAAGAGTTTTGAAGACACCGCTACTGCTACTTTTCTAAAAAATAAGAAAAAACAATAAATGATTGACACCAAAAGATTTCAGATTAAAAATCAGCAGAAATGTTAGGATATTTTGTAAACTGTGGAATATATGGGCAAAATGTGAGGAAATGTCACACAATTACAGCAGTCTTACTTTTCCACACCCTCTGAGATTACATTGAACGAGACAAGAGAAAAATGTCCGCCTATTATGAAAGTAAGATCATAACTACATTCCAGGCTAAACTTGTCAGTTTCCAGTATTCAAAGGAATAGGTAATGGTGTTAATTTAGCTTTATTTTTAGACACTGAATAACAGCAAGCTCTCTGATCATCTGAGGTGTAACTGTCCAGATCTTCTCATTATCTCCGACAAGCTTCCCTGTACCTAACAAAACAAAAAACAATCTCCACAGCATGATTCTACCCCCACCGTGGTTTACCAGTTGATTGGAATTTGTGCTGTAAAGAAAAAGTTCAAATGCATTTTTATTTTCTCATCAGTTTTCTATAAAATGGTTTTCCAGTCAACAGGTATCCCAATTCCAGCTGTGGATGCTGGGATTTATGAACCACTAATGTCTTCTATAAGACCTCACCTATGATGCTAAACATTTTATCTATTGGTATATTATTCATTTTAAATGTTGAAGAAGCAATAAAAAAAATTATTTTCTCTTAATAATAATAATAATTGTTAATAATAATAATACTTATGGATAACTGGAGCAGAAAGCCAATGTATTAAAATAAGGAATAGAAAAAACGATTATAATTGATTACTTACATAAGCCTCTTTGCCAAATTAAAGAAATATTCTAATCTTTACTGTTTATTTTTTTGAAATATTTTGAACATAATTAATGTCTAAGTAAGTTAAATCCGACTAAACCTTGCGATTCGCATAGTATTTTGTATTTTTCAGAGAATACCACGTTTACTTAAATTAATACATACATACATATAGATGTATTTAGCCTATGGGTGCGCCTAAAACCCCTCCCACCTGCCTGGTAAGGTTGCGCGCAGCCGATGAGTTTTATAGCAACTGTTGCCCAGTGAGGCAACGCCATAGTCCCGTAGTCCTGGCGACTGTAACCCACCAACAACAACCTCTCGCTCCATCATTACCACCTCCTCCACCATCCTCATCTTCATCAACCAGTCCGCAGCTCAGGTTTGCTTTAAACTAATTCGTTTATTTGTTTCTAAGCCGGAAAGCAACTGGTTTGTCCCGTCACTGCTTTTTTTTTTTTTTTTTAAGCGCCTCTGGTTTGTGTTTTGTCTGCTGCTGGATAATAGCCGGGGTACTTTGCTAGCCGAGGGTGTTTCTTTGTAACGTGTTAGCATACTTGCTAAGATTCACTGTAGATAACAACAACGGCAGGAGAGCGGAAACTACATACGCGGGCTCGCGGGGAGTTTAAATGTTAACATTTTAACGTGTGTATTTCTGTTTGAAGTTGCCACGCTGAGCGGTAGCAGCTTTCTCGGGCTAGTGAATGATGCTAACTGGTCAGCTGGAGCAGGTGTCTGTTGTTGCTAGGCTGCTAACGCCAGCGATGCCTCCCCTCACAATGCCTGTTGGGTATTCCATTTTGGGGGCTAATGCTGCGGCGAGAGCTTAAGTTTAAGTTTTAGGGTGTTTTTTGAGTTTTGGTTGCCGTGCAAAATCACTACAAGGAAAGTCATTTGAGCTAAGCTTGCTTTCACTAACTGGTTGACAATAGCTAAGCCATTACTTTCCCTTTTGTCTTAGGCAGCTCGATAGCTTCGCTAGCTCTCCATCTGCCCTCTTTGTGGAATCAGATGGCTGTGATAAGCTTTGTGATAACATGGGGCCAGGCTGAAGGAAAATAAGACCTAATTAATTAACATTTGGTCAGATTTGTCTTTTAGTGAATAAGAAATTCATCCTAAATTTAGTTATTTATCCACAAACAAGCAAAATTACTATCCAACCTTATTATAGTGCTGTAGCTGAACATAAATCTCATTTCAATTTATGTATGCAATATTTTATACTCTTACTATAGAAATCAACCAACTTTTTATAGATGAATAAATGGTTTCCTCATTTGGAAAACAGATTCATTTAATTACAGAAAATCTCAGATTTTATCCTGCAAAAATTAAAGGTTACTAAATAATTTAATTTAACTGCTATTTATAGCACAAAAATAACTATTGTTAGTTACCTAGAAAAGACAATAGAACTTAAAAATAACTAAAGTTTCACTTTATTATTTTTATTTTTTTAGTAATTGGTCAAATCTAAATCATTGGAACAGAATTAAAAGAAACAAAAATATAAAATGGGCTGGAAAAGTTTATCCCTGCATTGCAACTAGTTTTAGTCAGCAATCGGATAACTGTTTTCCATCCAAAACTTTACTAT